GTAAAGGGTTCCACAGTTGCTCTCCCCCCGCCCCGTCCTAGGAGTTAGAAAAGGATGGACAGAATCGGACTTTGCTCATTTGCGGCTACATAGAGATTCTAGGCTGAACCCTCTTTTAACACCGCCCCCTACACCTGCCTCAGGAGCCTCTGCGCTTGTCTTTTCCAGGCTACATCGGGATGGTCAAGGATGCCACGGAATCCACTGCCAGGGTAGAGCTGCACTCGACGTGCCAGACCATCTCGGTGGATCGGGAGCATCTCACCATTGTGTAAGAGCCACCGGGAGCCAGATTTGAGATGGGGAGGGCGGGAGGGAGGGAGAGCCTGGTTTCAGAAGTCCTCTGCGTAGGACGGAGCAGCTCTGGGCTAGACCCGGGACCCAACCGAGCCGAACGGGATGATGTGCCAGCTTTATCGGACGTTCCTCCTTTTGCAGAGATTCCAAAAAGCCGTCTGGCATGCCCTCTGGCTATGGACGGACCCCCATGTACGGCTCCCAGACGCCGATGTACGCCTCGGGCTCCCGCACGCCCATGTATGGCACCCAGCACGATGGTGAGTAGAAGGAAGCGGGTGGCCCACCCATCTCTCTGGCCAGGAGAGGTCGGTGGGGTTCTTAGCATCTGACCTCGAAGGCCTTAGCGGGTGTTTGAACAACGAGGCTGCTGAATTCCGTAACCTGAGGACACGGTGTGAGAGGGCAGGCTGCCTGAAAAGGGGCTGGCCCCCGAGCTGGTGGAGCCCTGCACCCCAAGGACTGCCTGTATACATGAGGCGGGTCTGTTTTTCAGGAAACCGGACGCCGCACTACGGCTCCCAAACACCCTTACACGATGGCAGCCGGACACCCGCCCAGAGCGGCGCCTGGGATCCCAACACCCCTTCCAGGTTGGCCTTCCGGTCTGGGGAAGGGAGGCAGGGCTGGGGGAGCCCCGAGGCTGAACTGGGTATTTGGCTTCTTCTGCAGGACAGAGGAAGAGTTTGACTACGGTTTTGACGATGAGCCAACGCCTTCTCCCCAAGGCTATGGGGCGACCCCCAACCCCCAGACCCCAGGCTATCCAGACCCTTCCTCCCCGCCTGTTAATCCTCCCTACAATCCTCAGACGCCTGGCACCCCCGCCATGTAAGTGCACCAGCGCTCATGTCTCTTGGCTAGATGGTGGCCCATAGATAGATAGATAGATAGATAGATAGATAGATAGATAGATAGATAGATAGACAGATAGACAGACAGACAGACAGATAGATGATGGATGGATAATGATAGGTAGATAGATAGACAGACAGACAGACAGATGATGGATGGATAATGATAGGTAGGTAGATAGATAGATAGATAGATAGATAGATAGATAGATAGATAGATAGATAGATAGATAGATAGATAGACAGACAGACAGACAGACAGACAGACAGACAGACAGATGATGGATGATGATAGATAGACAGACAGACAGACAGACAGACAGACAGATAGATGATGGATGATGATAGATAGATAGATAGATAGATAGATAGATAGATAGATAGATAGATAGATAGATAGATAGATAGATAGATAGATAGATAGATAGAGAAAAAGAAAGAAAGGAAAAAAAGAAAAGAAAGAACGAACGAACCAAGGACCTCACAAATAGTTCTCTCTTTGAGACGCTCCCCTGGAGCTTCTCCTTTATAGTTGCTGATTCTCTGACTGTGCTAGATCCGGAGTGGGGGAGGGAAATGATGCCCTCCCTGCTCTGAACAGAGCCTCTTGTCTTGCTAAAGGTACAACACAGACCAGTTCTCTCCGTACGCCGTCCCGTCTCCTCAGGGGTCCTACCAGCCGAGCCCCAGCCCTCAAAGCTTCCACCCAGTGGCTCCCAGTCCTGTGGGCTACCAGAACACCCACTCCCCCGCCAGCTACCACCCGACTCCTTCGCCAATGGCTTACCAGGTATGCTTGATACAGCCACCCGATGGAACCTCTCTCCCGCTCTCTTTAAAGCTAGTCCTCAGGGCTGGCTGAGGGATTCTGGGAGTTGAAGTCCACAAGTCATAAAGGGGCCACGTTTGAAGACCCCTGCTTTAAAGCCATCAGNGCACACACCAACCTCACTTTGCCCCATTATGTTGGCCAGTTCCTCCTAGTCAGGCAGGGAAAAAATATTTGTGGACCCTGTTGGTTAAAGTATTCCAACCAGCATAATCTCCCCCCCCCCCCCGTCCTGGCCTTCTAAAAAAGAGCTCCACAGCCTCATGTCGGGAGCCCATGGGGGTCCTCAGCCTCCCAAAATGTTCCTTTCACCTTGTTTTTTAATCGTCTTTGCCCCTTTTTAAATGTCTAACTTTTATAAACTCTTTAATTTTTAATATTGTACCGTACACCACCCAGAGTCCCTCTGTGAAGGAGATGAGTCTTTTCAAAATTTGCAAAAGAAACAAATAAGCCCCCCTTTGGAAAGGCATCTTTGCTGCTTCTCCAAGGACATAAGTGGCACGTGGGTTGATGGGTGACCCCTTGTAGGTCCAGCCAATCGTTCAGGTCCTGAAAGGGTGGGAGTTAAGTGGTCTCTTTCACTGTCCCCTGCCTAGAACCGGCCCTGATTTTCTCATGGGATCTCTCTTTCTCTCCCCAGGCTAGCCCCAGCCCCAGCCCAGTGGGCTATAGCCCTATGACCCCAGGGGCTCCTTCTCCAGGAGGTTACAACCCTCACACCCCGGGCTCTGGGATTGAGCAGAGCTCCAGCGATTGGGTCACCACCGATATCGAGGTCAAAGTGCACGACACGTACCTGGACAGCCATGTGGTGGGGAAGACCGGAGTCATCCGTAGCGTGAATGTAAGTGGCTGGATAGCAACTGGCCCCTTGTAGGTTATTCCTGGTTCTTGAACATCTTTATGGCTACCATTTCATGTTGATCAAGGAGAGGGATTGGCTCCCGCAGAGCCAAGGATAGATTATCTTGTCACCAGAGGTAGGTGAGCTTTCCTGTTATTGATGCTTCCAGATTGTCACCTGGGTGGTTTTCTTTTTTCTTCTTCTCCTCTCTCCCTCCCATTCTTTCCTCCCTTATCTGCCCTGCTAGGGCGGGATGTGTTCAGTCTACGTTAAGAAATGTGAAAAGGTAGTCAGCATTTCAAGCGAACACCTGGAGCCTGTGACACCAGCCAAGAATGATAAGGTAGGTGGAAGCATTCTCCACCAGGCAGCCTTGTCAGTCAGTCTGTCTTATCTACCATCCATCCATCCATTAATCTAATTTAATCTAATCTACCTTCCATTAGCTAGCTAGCTAGCTATCTCTCTATATAATCTATCGTTTATCTCTTTTCAAATGACTCAGCAGCTTACAGCATAATAAACATTTTAAAAACATTAAAACCATAAAGATACAGAGAAGACGAAATAAAATCATTAACAGAAGATGGAGCAGGAGGGAGTGAATACACGAGGTTGGGATGGGCTGGGGGCTGGATTAGCTTTGAATTAGTCAAGCACCCCCAGTGTGAAACTCTGGTCAACACAGTTGTTGGGAAAAGGGTGGCCCTTTAACAATGCAAAATGCTCTCCGGGAAGCCTGGCTTTTTAGCCAAATAGCTCTTGAGTTTTCTTCTGCCTTGCAGGTCAAAGTCCTCTTGGGAGAAGACCGCGAAGTGACGGGGATGCTGTTGAGCATTGATGTGGAAGACGGCATTGTCCGCATGAACCCAGAGAAGATCAAAATCTTCAACTTGCGTTTCCTCGGCAAACTCGTAGCAGCTTAGCAGGACGGAGAACAACAGTGGGCTGTGATTAGGGTTTCCTTGTTTTCTTCTTCCCTATTTTTTCATTTAGCCGGTTTCCTCCCGACTGCACCGCCAAGGTTTTGTACAGATTTGCTCCTGAAAAAGGTTTATTTTTTTTTATGTGCGTGTGCGCGTTTCTTCCTGCTGGCCGTTTTTCCCAGCACTGCGGGTGGCTGCTTGAGCGAGGGACAATCTTGCAATTGTGTTATGACGTGACTTCAGCGGAAGAGCTGCCACCAGTGGAACACCAGGCCCTGCCGTTCCCCTCCTCTTCCGTAGCACTTTATGACCTCTTCATCACCAAAAAACATCCAACCTCTGTAGCTTGTTTAATAAAATCATCTCCTAAAACTTCTTTGAATGAGGCTTATGTGGCCTGTAGCCAAAGGATTCAGTGATTCTCAGAGGAAAAGACTTTATCTTGTGAATTCCTACCTACACAAGTTTGTCTGTCTATCATCTATCTATATCATCTATATTATCTGCCTACCATCCATCCATCTCATGCTCATTTATTCAGTCACCCACTCACCATCCACATCTATATATCTATCTACATCTATCAATTATATCCATCCTTCCCTCCTTTCATCATCTCTCCATCCATCCATCCATCATTATACATTGATTCCCTGTATGTGTCCCATCTCAGCTAGGGGCAATTCTGGCCAGCTTACAATCAAGGCAATAAGATAAAAAATACTATTTAGATAAGATCAGACGCCTTGGCTGTATAACGTGAAAATTGAGGGGGAGCATTTTTTTAAAAAAGACACGTGCTGCCTAAGACACGTGTCTTGCTGTCCCTTCGGCTCTTTAACCTTGTCAGCTTCCGGGAAGACCGGTAGGAAAGGAAAGGTTCCGCCTCTTCACTTCCTAGCCAATGGGAGCTGTGGCCGCTTTTTTCAATAAGCAACTTCGCGGGTCTTCACGCCCCCTTGAGCTATGATTGGTCGGAGAAATCTGGGAGGCGTAGAGCGGCCCGCGGATTGTGTTTCATGACAAGTCCCGCTTTCTTTAATGGATGAAGCGCTCGAAGGGGCGGGCAGTCCGGCTTCGGAATTGATTGATGAGAAGCGACCGATTGGGGCGGGCGTCTGACTGCCTTTCCCGCTCTGATTGGCCGAATCGTTTTTCCCCATCCGCGGCGCGCGCCCGACGCTCCCGCCCGCTCGCTCCTGATTGGTCAGGGCCGGCGCAGGCGCGAGAGGCGCCCCCGAGCAAAGATGGCCGCGGTGGTGGCGGCCGCTCGTGTCCTGTCTGAGGCGGCGCTGACGGGCGGGCGGCGGGCGCTGCGGGGCGGCGGCGGCTCCTGCTGCCGGCGGTGGAAGCGGGGCGGCGCCTGGGCGCTGCCCGGCCGGACGTGGAGCTCAGGGGCTCCGCCGGGGGTCCCTCCGTCGGCAAGCGCGGCCGGACCGAGGCTGACCGGAGCCGTCCTGAAGGAGGTGGCCCAGCGGCAGCAGCAGCAGCAGCAGCAGAAGGTGAGGGCCGGCGAGGCCAGACCATCGGGGTTCGGAGTATTAGCAGTAGGTTAGGGCAATCCAGAAGGGGCAGCCTGGGGCCCAGACGCCCAGCAACCTTAGGGGGAGCACAGAGACCGGGGGGGGGGGCTTCAATGAGCATCAGAGTTGACGTCCTAAAAAAATACAGGTAGTCCTCGACTTACACCCGTTCGTTTAGTGACCGTTGAAGCTGCAAGGGCAGTAAAAAAAAAGTGACATCACCACCTTTCACACTTAACGGCCCTTGCAGCATCCCTGCGGCCATGTGATCAAAACTCGCACCTTTCGCACCCGGTTCATGTTTATGACCGTCGCAGCGTCCTGGGCTCTGGTGCTCCCTTTTGCGACTTCTGACAAGCAAAGACAATGGGGAAAGCCAGGTTCATTTTACAGCTGCGCTGAAAAAGAATGACATGACCGTTTTTCACACTTACGACCATTGCAGTGTGGACATAAGTGTGAAAAATAGTGATCGCAGGATCAAAATTCAGACGTTTGGCAACTGATTCATATTTATGATGGTTGCAGGGATCGTGGGATCACCTTTTGCGACCGCAAAGGTACTAAAACTAACTTAACTACTGCAGGGATTCACTTAACAGGTGTGGCAAGAAAGATTATAAAATGGGTCAAAACTCACTTAACTGTCTGGCCACTGGAAAAGTTGGGCTTAATTGTGGTCGTAAGTGGAGGACTGCCAGTGTATGGTTTCTGCAGTTGTGCCCTACCTCCTTTCAGCTTTCTCTCTCTCTCTCTCTCCAGTCAACGGGAGAAGAAGATGGGAAAGGCTCCAATAATCAACAAGAGAAGACGAAAAAGCAGAACCCTGCCTATACCAAGAGATTGTTGCAGATAATAGGCCTTCTCGGAGCTGGCAATGGCGTAGCAATTATCTACATCTTTGGTAAGTCAGCTTTCAATCTGTTTAATAATGATGATGATGATGATGATGATGATGATGATGATGATGATGATGATGATGATGATGGAAGGGACCTTGGCAGTCATCTAGTCCAACCCCTTGCTCAGGTATGCCCACCGGTCAGTGCATCATATTGAAGCTCCCTTCTCTGGCTTATGATCATTGCAACAATCTGAATTGTTACAGTTGTACCCGGGCCAGGCCTCTGGATAATATCAGTTACAGAGTTTGTGTTGATGGAGGTTTCTGTTCTGTGGCTATAGCTTGTAATCAAAATATACATGACAGTGCTCTGAACGTGAAGAGTTGAATAGTTTATTGCCAAGATGATTGCTTCAGGTCTTTAAGATACTGGCGGTGTCTTCTTTGTTGGCATCAGCGAGTCTTTGATCAGCCCAGAAGATTGATTGATGGGGAAAAATTGTGTGTAGTTTTATTTCTCTATCCTAAATCTAGTTCAGTTACTGTTAGGAGACATGATGAGGTGGGATCCTCAAGATTCATACGCATGTCTCCCCAGGCTATTAAATGGCTCCATATTTCTCGTTGATGAGGTGACAAGATAAAAAGCATGTTGCTAATAGCTGAAAATTCAACTGATAGTAAATTTCAGCCTGAGCCTGATCGTAATCTCTGCCATTGTTAAACTACAGATAGTCCTCAACTTATGAACATAATGATCCCAGAAATTTCTGTTGCTAAGTGAGACATTTGTTAAGTGAGCTTTGCCCCATTTTACAATCTTTGTTTCTATAATTAAGTGAATCACTGCAGTTGTTAAGTTAGTAACATGGTTATTAAGTGAATCTGGTTTCCCCATTGACCATGCTAGTCCAAAGACCGCCAAAGGGACTGCGACTCATAGTCATAAATATGAGTCTGTTGCCAAGCGTCTGAATTTGGATCACATGTCAATAGGGATGCTGCAATGGTCATAAGTGTGAGGAACAGTCATAAGTCACCTTTTCAGGGCTGTTGTAACTTCGAACTGTCACTGAATGAATTGTTGTAAGTTGAGGACTGCATGTACTCCTCCCAGCATCCCTTGGTCTTAGCCAAGCTGCCTGAGATGCTAGTAGCTGAGCATCATTTGGTGAGCTGTCAATTCCCTGCCCCGGTTTGAGGAATAGTACTTTTTCATTGGCTCCTTCTAATACAGGTAGTCTTCGACTTAACAGCCACTCATGTAGTGACTGTACGAAGTTACAGCACTGAAAAAAAAGTGACTTACGTCCGTTTTGCACAGCGTCCCTGTGGTTACGCAATCAAAATTAGGGCGCTTGGCAACTGGCTCATATTTATGACGGTTGCAGTGTCCCAGGGTCATGTGATCACCATTTCTAACCTTCCCAGCTGGCTTCACGATTCACTTAGCTGCAGTGTGATTCACTTAAGAACTGTGTCAAAAACGTTGTCAAATGGGGCAAAACTCACTTAACTGTCCTGCTTAGCAACGGAAATCTTGGGCTCAGTTGTAGTCATAAGCCCAGGACTATCTGTAGAGCAAAAGGGAAAGAATTGGCTGATTCAGGACTAACCTGAATCAGTTAATCAGATTAATTGTTTAACTTTCAAGATCAGGGAGATGGTCCTACCAACTGTGACCCAGCTTTCAGTATGACCCCAATTTTACCAAATGACCTTTTCAACTTCTTTCTCCCTCACTCACCCACTCTCTTTTTTTTTTTGCCGCAGGCCGTAATTCAGTGGATGAAAACGGTGCGAAGGTAGGTTGCTTTGTTATCTAAACAGAGGTCCCCAACCTTTTGGGCACCATGGGCCAGTTCCATGGAGAGAGGTTTTTCCACGGATCGGAGGGTGTGTGGTTTTGTGTGCTGCCTGCATCCCGCGGATGGGGCTTTGCTTGTTTGTGCAAACCGGTTGCTGGCATGCCGCAGCCCCTGATCTAAAAGAAGTTCTCTTGTTAACAAGATGCCTGCCACTAGGGGTTGTTCCGCATTCAAAAGAAAGATGTTGGGCAGTCAATGGGGGAAGCCGGGTTCGCGTAACCACTGCATGATTCGCTGAAGAAACACTGCAATTTGCTTAACAATGGCAAAAAAAAAAGATCTTAAAATCGGGGTGACTCACTTAACAACGTCTTGCTTAGCACTGGAAATTCTGGTCCCAGTGTTGTGTTTATAAGTTGAGGACTACCTGTGATTTGCTTTTCTTTGTTTAATACTTTGTCGTAAAAGGAAAATGGCTACCGGTATTCTTTTTTCTTATTTATTTTTGTTTTGTTTATTTCTATTCCCCCTTTATTATTTTTACAAATAATATCCAATACACCTTGCTCCTCCTGTTTTCCTCACAACAGCCACCCTGTGAGGTAGGTTGGGCTGAGAGACTGACTGGGCTGAGAGACTGACAGGCCCAAAGTCATCCACCTGGCTTTCATACCTAAGGCAGGACTCGAACTCACGGTCTCCCACTTTGTAGCCTGGTGCCTTAATCAAACTGCTCTTCTTAGACTTTTCTGAACAGTGTGTTATGATTTGTTCCTCGTTTTTGTAGTTTTTACTCCTCCCCGCTAGCAAATACTCCATGCCTCTTTTTGCAAAATGTCTCTAGGGATGCTCTGTTTCTCCTCATCCAGATTCTGAACAAAATATGTGCAACTTGCAGAATCACCAGTCATAACTTGGAACACTTCCCTTTCACCAAGTACAAAATGTAATCCGGCCCAGCTTCCCAAATCCCTTTTGTGCCACCGAGACAATATTTGGGTGGCGATTTCCTGTGACACAATGACTCAGCCCTCAGCCCAGGGCAGGCCATGGGGAAAAGCCTGAAGCCAAGTTCCCACAGATGTTTTGTGGTCTTGATTACAACAGGCACATGTTGCCAGGGATGTGTGAAAAGGGTCCTGGCTGATGGGTGCTTGATGTACCTGTTGTCAATGGGGGGGGGGAGGAACTAGGAGGGAGCTCCACACATTTGCTAATGAGGCTGTATTTGCTTGAGAAAGTTTCTTTCAGGCTTCCAGCATTTTGTCCAGATGTGGGGCTTGTTCCTTCATGGGTGAATTATAGGGAAGAAAAATCCTTAGCCTTTTCCTCAGTACCATAGACGGAAAGGGCTGTGCTTAAAGTTTAATAATGTGGAATGTGCTTGTACATTCCACATTATTAAATTATTTTTTTAATCTTAACAAAACCTTAGGTCAGTGGTGACTCTGTAGCACAGTCTATGGTCTGATCCTGGCATCAATACAGGAGCGGGGTGTGGGGTTTGTATGCATTACCCTTTCGGTCTTCTACTTGATCCGGTCTAGTTTATTATCGGCATTATTGAACTACACACAAAACGAAATGCCAGACTAGAATTCAGCATGTTTCCTCCTCACCCCCCTCAGCAACAATTACGTACAAAACATTGCAGCCTAAATCTGTAAGCATCATTTTTGTTGTAAAAGGTATTTATCGTTCCGCTGCGAAATGCAGGCAGCTTCTGGAGTTGCACGGGTGTTTCTGCATTTTAAATTTGTGATCAGCCTTCCCTCTTTATTTCCCCAAGTTGGGGCTTTCTGCATTTGTCTGGGGTGACAGCATCTGGATTCTGCAGCCGGCACACTTAACTGACGGGTCTTTTTTAAATTGCTGATTGCTAAAGAGATGCTGTCCGTTGCCCTTGGTGTGAATCGCAAGCCACGGGCGGATGAGGGAGGATTCTTTTGATCTGTAGCACAAGTCCCAAGTGCCCTTGAGGAAACAAGGTGTGAATTGCTAGTGGCTTTACACATCCCTGAGGCATTTTGAACAGCCCGACTTAAAATACACCCAGCTACTATCCCCAACACCTCTTTTAAGGCCCTGATTTCCTGATTGCCTTTTTTCCTATACTGGCGGCTTTGATGTTAGAAGCTGCCGTTCTTCACCTCGTTGTAAACAACAACCTGAATTATCCTTGGAGGTGAGGGCATCGGACTGCAGTATCCCAGAGGAAGAGAGGGCTTCCTAAATCACCCTGGGTGGATGACCCTCCTCCCCCAGCCCCCATCAGTCATCCAAACGTGAACACGTTCCTTTCATGCTCCTGGACCTTTGTTCCCACCGTTACGGGCTTTGGATCAGCTTATGGCTGGCACCTGCCATCTGCTTTGGATTGTTTGCACTAACAAGCACAATTCCGGCACAATTGGCGACTGGGTGAGAAGTCTCTCTGAGGAGGAAGCAAGTTGGAGCGCAGAGCCCCTGACTTAATTCTTTGCAGGCAGAGGGAAGTTCATTTCATTGACTTATCTGAATCCGGCCTTTATTATTTTGACAAATATTTTCCCCACCACAACCAGCCTGAGAGGTGAGCTGACGGCTGGGAGTGAGGGACGGGCCTGGAGTCACCTAGCCATCTTCATGGCTGAGGCAGGACTAGAACTCACCATCACCTGGTGATTGGCCCAAAGTCACCCAAAGTCATGTCTAAGGCAGGACTAGAACTCACCGTCTCCTAGTGGTTGGCCCAAAGTCGCCCAGCCAGCTTTCATGGCTAAGGCAGGATTTGATCTTGCTTTCTCCTGCTATCTAGCCTGGTGCCTTAGCACCCTCGCGTTGTGGTGGCCCATCCCAGTAACAATGCATAGTCACACATTTTTGGCTTCTCCCCCCCCCCCCCTTAAAAATCAAGTTTTTAGCAAGGAGAACTGTGTCATAACTCTTCCTTGTGAAACCTATATTTTTCAGCTTCTATGTCATCGTTTTATCTTGGATAATTAATAGATGTATGGTAAGACAGATCAATTCCCCTTGAATTATCTTATCGATATGCGATAATTACTCCACAGTGATGGCTAGAGTAAGCAAAGAACTTACATAAGTTACTCTCTTATAGAAGGGGGTGTAGTATATTCTCTTCCATTGGTAGGTTATCTCAAAGAGTATAGGTTTGATGTGTATAAATTTGTCTCAAAGAGGAGTCCCTCTTTTTTTGGGGGGGGGGGGAAACCCCAGGGACAGGATGTCTTGAATGCTTACAAATGGCCTTGCTTTGAAGTAGCTCCGTGCCTCTCCCCGCCTGCCCCTCCCTTTGCGTCCTGTTCTGGGGCCATAATGAGACTCCTTTGGTTTTGCTAGCGACCCTTGTCGCATTCATGTGAATGGCCACAATGAGGCGGGCGTGATGGCAGATGTGCCTGGCCTAAAGAGCCCGGCTGGCACACTTCACAGCTCCCTGCAAGTCTCATGGCATCACCTGGGTGCAGGGGGACCCGTCCCGTCTAGGCCTACCTCGGCCTAAGTGGCTGTAAAACAGGCCCAGGCTTTGATCTCTCTTTCTTTCCCACACTGGCCCAAAGAGGCTTCTTGATCTTTTTTTATTACAGATTTCCTTTCTCACTCTTCCCATTTGCACTGATCTTCCAGCCTCGGTCTCAGAAACAAAAGTTGGCAACTTCTGAAAAGCTGGGCCGGGGGCAGTGGAGGCAAGCCTTTGGAGTCTAGGCCGCCCTGGGAAAGAGGTCACAGTTGGGAAAATCCAGAAGGACCTCCTGCTGCTTGGAAGTTTGGGGAGAACTCCTTGATACTGTGTTGTGTAGGGACCTCGGTGGGGTATTCTTGACTCTTTCTTTTATTGGGGGTTGGCGTTTTGGGACTTCGTGTCCTTTCTGATTGTTGGAGAAGACTCGGGAGTCCCTCGGACCGCCAGGAGATCCCATCAGTCAATCCAAAGGGAAGCCAACTCTGACTGTCCTTTGGAAGGACAGATGCTGAAGCTGAAGCTCAGATACTTTGGCCACCCAATGAGAAGACTCCTTGGAGAAGCCCCAGATGTTGGGAAAGGAGAAGGGGACGGCGGAGAAGGAGATGGTTAGATGGTGTCATCAACGCAACGATCGTGAATCTGGGCAGACTCCGGAGGACGGGAGGGGGCTGGTGTGCTGTGGTCCATGGTTTGCAAAGAGGTGGACACGACTTAGCAACAGTCACAAAGCAGTCCTTTCTAGACATCTTAGAGCAGTGTTTCTCAACCTTGGCAACTTTACGATGTGTGGACTTCAACTCCCAGAATTCTCCAGCTAGCGTTGCTAGCTGGAGAATTTTGGGAGTTGAAGTCCACACATCGTAAAGTTGCCAAGGTTGAGAAACACTGTCTTAGAGACTCCTGGGTTCAAGAGTCTGTTTTGTTTACCAGGAATGGACGTCTGGAGGAGGAGTGCAGTGTTTAAGGTGTGTAGATGTCCTAGGCCAGGGGTAGACAAACTTGGCTCTTTTATGACTCGTGGACTTCCAACTCCCAAAATTCCTGAGCCAGCCATGCTGAGGGGAAAGGGAGAGGTTGCCATGCTGAGCCAGGCTGGCTGAGGAATTCTGGGAGTTGAAGTCCACGAGTCATAAAAGAGCCAAGGCTGCCTACCCGTGGCCTAGGCCTTTCTCTCCAGGTGGTGCTGTTGAGCTTCCAAATTCTGATTGAAATGTTGGTAGAGAGCAGAGAATCACACTCCCTGGAAATCAAAGCAGGGTTGCCTCGCCTTACCGACGGCCATCTCTGCTCCCGAACTCAGCCAGGCCTCTGGGCTTCCCAGTCCATCACGCCTATAAAAATCATTTTGTCCGCTTGGGTCCTGTGTGCCGGATGGAAGGGCAGTGAGGACAGGCAGTGCAGTTGCTTGCAGGGCTAAGTACTCGCAGGGAAGGGAGCCATCTTTTCCATTAACATACTACTACTACTACTACTACTACTCAGCTGCACGGAATTCCTTGTTGGCTATGCTCCAGTGTTCCTGCACTGATCCCGGATCCCAGTTCGCGTGGCTGTGGGGATGCTGCCACGGTCGTAAGCGTGAAAAACGATCTCTTTTTTTCAGTGCCGTTGGTCACTAAGCAAATGATCGTAAGTCGAGGACTGCCTGTGTGCCTCTTTTCTGAGTCTTTCTGGCTTTAGGCCAGCAGAGAAAGCGGGGATCTTGCATTCTCACCCAATCACGTGCCCTGCTTTCCCTCGAGGAGGCGGCATCTCTGTAGCAACTCGACATTTACTCCAGTTAACAAGTTTGCAGACGAGTCCAACTGGGTAAATCTGGCAGCGGCGGCTGGGTTTGGTTAAGGAGGGCAGGAGGGGAAGGGACCCCAGGCAGCTGCCATTGTGTGGCAAGACCCTGCCCCTTCTCCGTTGTCAGCCTCGGTTTCCTGCCCTGTCAAGTTGAGGCTCTGTTTGTTGCCTGGAACAAAGCAGATCAGCCCTTGGGTTTTACGGATGCATTTTACAGTCTCTTGGCCTCGGCCTCTTCCTCCCACCTCGCTTTACATAATCCCAAATTTCGCGGCGGCCAGAGTAGTAAAAGGAAACAATGGCTGATGAACTGGCGTGTGTCCCTCAGCCAGGGATTAGCTCTGTTTCCCGCGGCCTTCGGGCCGGGAGCAGTTGGGAAGGTAGACCCCGAGATTATTGCAATCGTCGCCCTCTCTTTTTGTGAAGTTACCCGCGACGACGGGATTGTTCCTAGCCCTGCCGAGGTTTGAGCGGAGGATTTTCAGAGCCGATCGGGGAGATTTTGAAAGGACTTCACCGTTTAAGCCAACAGCTGCTTTCCTTCTGCACCTGTAGCTGAAAAGAATAAACTTCTTGCTGTCCGGGCGGGAGGGCTGTGTATTCACGCACTCGTGCACGATCAGACGGAGTGCGTGGGGGGCACCATTGTTGTTTTTAAGGTCTGTTAAGGCCCATTGTCACTTTGTATGGGTGGTTCTTTGGGGCTCAAACAGCTGCTGCTTTCAGAACGGGCAGAGTAGAAAGGCTGCATCGGCTGGCCGGTCCGTTCTTCCTGGGCCTGGGGAGAGAGAGAGAGAGAGCTGGCTCAGAATATCAGAGCTGGATTGCCACAGCCGCCCAGTTCGGAGGCGTGGGGGCCATTTGGCCGGTGCACCAAAACGCATTGCTTATGCAAACACGCAAGTATTTTTTTTGTAAGGTGCCAAAGGAGTTGCTGACGTCTCAAAGAAAGATAGCTGGGTCCTCTTGCTCCTGTCTGGAAATGTCCTTGTTCTCCTTCCTTCCCCAGTGCAGCTTGCCTGGGCATTTGGTGCAGGACTCTGCTCGTGCTCGTTGTCCCTTGGGCAGATTGCGACGTCCCAGGCCTCCTCCCCTCGCTCAGGGGTCGGTCTCTAATGCTCAGGAGCTCCCTGTCCCTGGCAAAGGCCAGGACTCACCGGGACACGCTATTTCCTTTTACCCAGAGCATTTAGCACAGGCGGTCCTCAGCTTAGGATCACAATCGTGTGGATGTCAACCTCTGGAATTCCCCAACCAGCCACCCCAGCCTTAAAGTTTTATTTCCTCTCTTTATGGTGTATCTGTGTTTTATGCATTCGTACATTCGTCTTTCATGCGTCCCATCGCTTTGCAAAGCGTCCCGGAGAACCAGCCGAAAAGATCCTCTCTCGTCTTGCGAATTCCTGTGTACGTTACACCGAGGCATTGTTTTTCCACTCAGTGTGTCTGAGTCTCCATCATATCCTGGATTTTGTGTGTGTGTTTTTTTAATTAAAAGTTCCTGCTTCGGGAATGGCACTCTGGCCATGGGAAGAAAACTATCCCCAAATTAACCACCTTCCTCACATCTCATCTTCCTTCCTGCCATCTGTTTTGACCTGGCCGGTCTTCCGCTGACCCGTTTGCCCGACCAGTCTGAACTCGGAGTGGCAGCCCTGCCGCTGCCTCTGGGACTGGTCTTGTAAACATGACAGGAAGAAAATGAATCACAGCAGCCACCGGCCTCCCTCCCTCCCTCGCTGAACCCTGAGCACCACAACTCCAAGCCAGCCTTCACCAACTGAGTTCCCTCGGAGTGTGGCGAGGGCTGCGAGTAATTCTGGCAATGTGCACATCTGGAGGTGCCACATGAGTTGGAGAAGGCAGCTGTAGAGCCAGTTTGGTCTAGTGCAGGGATAGGCAACCTTGGCTCTTTTATGACTCGTGGACTTCAACTCCCAGAATTCCTGAGCCAGCTGTGCTGGCTCAGGAATTCTGGGAGTTGAAGTCCACGAGTCATAAAAGAGCCAAGGTTGCCTACCCCTGCTCTGGGCCAATCACCAGGAGACCGTGAGTTCTAGTTCCACCCTAGTCACAAAAGCCAGCTGGGTGGCTTTGGGCCAGTTGCTCGCTCTCAGCCCAGCCCACCTTACGTGGTGGTTGTGGTGGAGATCAAGGAGGAAGGAGTGTTAAATATGTTCACCTCCTTATTTGCAACAATACAGGTGGGATGCAAATAAGCAGGTAGACATCTGTGTGTCTGTTTTGTTCTCCCCTCCCAGCTCCCATTTTGGGATATGCAATGTACCCTCGGAATCAAAATAAACCCAATTTTCTCTCAAAGGTTCTTTGAAAAGAATCTTTGAGACAACTATGAGCTGGATGGCTGAGAATCTCTACAAACATATTGTTTTCTCTCTTCTTTTTGCAGATTCCTGATGAATTTGATGATGGTAAGTAGACAAGACCGGGGTTTTGAAATTTTCCTGCATGGGCTCCGGTCAACAGGTTGGGTTGAGGATCAAAAACGGGAGCGAAGTCATTGCAGAAGTAAATCTGGAGTTGCCACCGTTATCCAAGGAACTGGAGCGTTTACTGCATATTACTCGCAATTGCCAAATTTATTTCCAAGTATCCTAGCTGCCTTTTCCTGAGAGCAAAATGAAAAATTGCTTTCAGCTAATCGATGTGCTTCGGTATCTAAGCCCCTAGCTGGGGTTCAGACTCTGCTGAATTGCACTAGGAACTGCTCTGTAAAGGGACTGAGCTCTTTGAACCACAAGCTGGGTCGCTGCAGCTGTGACCTGGGGCCCCCGGCTTTTCAAAAAGTGAGTTTTTCTTTAGTGCCCTGTGCAGAAATAACCAGAATCGCTTTCCCCTTGCAATCGGCTGCACAGGCGAGGGGGTTTCTCTCTTGGGGGGGGGGCTGCCTCCAAAGCAGCGGGTCTCTTGTCAGTGGGCAGGACGAGAAGATCCCTGCTCCATTTCTCAGACCATCCAGGGTCTCCCCCCCCCATTCTCCCTCCCCCTCCCTGCCTGTCCTTGCACCTAGCTGGAGGCGAATGTCCCTGTTCAGATAATGGGGAAGGAGGAAGGCTTCGGACAGGGACAGGGTGCTGCATCCCCAGAGTGGCAGAAGCATGTCACTAGCATTCCAGATGTCCTTCTGCTGAGGGAGGCAGCTGGGGAAGCCATCTTCCTGGGGGTGTATTTGGGCTGCTTCTGAGGCTTCTTTTACCCATGTTGTACAGTCTCTGTTTTTGCAGCAGATTCTGCCCTGGCTTGGCCTGAACGGGGTTGTTCTGAGCCCCAGGCACCAGTCTTTGCTTTGCTTGAAAACAAGGCTCTCCCAACTTGCCAGCTTGAAGGCTTGTGGACTTCAATTCCCAGAATTCCAGCCCTAGGAGTTGAAGTCCACAAATCTTAAAGTTGCCAAGTTGGGGGAGCTCTGCTTTATAAGGTAGGTTAATCTGGCGACCCCTTAGATGAGGAGTCCAGCCGTCTAAAAAACCCCAAGGTTGAGCATTGCCAAGCTCACTTAACGCTACTCACAAACGGCACAACTCTCGTCGATTGCCTTCAGAGTTGGTTGGAGTCAGCAGTATCCAAGTTGAATTATAGAATCGCAGAGCTGCAAGGGACCTCGGGGGGTCTTCTAGTCCAGCCCCCTGCTCAAAGCAGGAGCCTTATTCCATCCCAATCAAACGGTTGCCCAGTCTCTTCTTGAAAACCTCCGATGACGGAGCACCCACAGCTTCTGAAGGCGAGCCGTCCCACTGGTTAATTGTCCTCTCAGTCCGGACGTTTCTCCTTGGTGCTAGATCAGATCTCTCTTTCTTAAGCTTCCATCCATTCTTTCTTGTTGTAATTACATTGGCCGTTTCAGGGGAATGGCTCTTTTCCGAACGACAGCACACACACACCCCTTTATAACCAGGATGCTGCACGGAGAATTCCAACTTCTCTGTCCCCCAAAACGTGGTGCCTGCTGCAAAATTTGAGGGAGAGTCTTTGCATTCTGAGCTTTGGGATGGAACGGACGGGAGGAGGGGGGCAGCCGTGGCTGTGCACAGCAGAGGGCCAGATGGAACCTGGTCACGGCGGCTTCCCCAAGCAGATTGTGCTGGAAGGCTTCGGACAGAGTGGGGAGGGGAGTCCTGGGGTGAGGGGGGGGAGCTGCTTTGGGGGGGTGCAAAAGAGTGCCTTCCTGGCTCCTTTCATGCAGGCGTATGTGCTGACAGATTAAAAGACAGCAGCGTAAATTCCCTCCTTCTGCCCCCCCTCCCTTCCAGATTTTCAGCTAATTCACCCCTCCTTGGTGGAAAAAACTACACACACACACACACACACACACACACACGGCAGGGAACCCCAGTTTGCTTAACCTGGTGCTGCTCTTGGCAGCCTCTTGTCTGTTTTCCTTCCTAGACTGTTGAATTTACGGCAGCTTGCAGGGAAGACTAAAGGAATCCCTTACCCAAGCTGAGAGGTTATTTAGCATTTCCTGCAAAAGTCAAATTTAGTCCGAATGGAGCTGGAAGGGACCTTGGAGGTCTTCTAGTCCAACCCCCTGCTCAAGCAGGAGACCCTATGCCATTTCAGACAGGTGGCTGTTTGAGACTAAAACATGTGAAGGGCAGTTGCAGGATTTGGGTTTGGCTAGTCTAAAGAAAAGAAGGACTAGGGGGAACATGATAGCAGTATTCCAGTATTTGAGGGGCTGCCACAAAGAGGAGGGGATCAATTTATTTTCCAAAGCACCAGAGGGCAGGACAAGAAACAATGGATGGAAACCAATCAAGGAGAGAAGCAACCTGGAACTAAGGAGAAACTTCCTGACAGGGAGGACAATTAACCAGTGGAACAGCTTCCCTCCAGAAGCTGTGAGTGCTCCATCACTGGAGACTTTTAAGAAGAGACTGGACAGCCACTTGTCTGAAATGGTGCAGGGTCTCCTGCTTAAGCAGGGGGTTGGACTAGAAGACCTCCAAGGTCCCTTACGGCTCTGTTCAGAGTGATTCACGTCAATGTCATTTCTGCCTGCTGCAGCCTAGTATTTGGGGAGGGGGGGCGACGGGGCGCCTCTTCCCGGGATTCCACCATGGCCCCCTCCAGTTGACAGGAATCCCTGCCCCGCCTGCCCATCCTCCTCGGCCCAGCTGCTCTGCTCCCATTACCATAACAATGCGCCCCAAATTACACCCCATTCAACAGGCCTGCCTTTGATTGATTAACTTAGAGCTTCTGTTTGAATAACCCTGGCGGCTAAAATGGGGAAGCCGTAATCTCAGAGGGATGGTTAACTGGGCTGGTGGGGAGGCTGCAGGGTTGCTCACACGCTCTCTCCTCCCCAGCCTGACCTCTGCTTAAGCAAGCTGGTCCTCGAAGGATCCCTTGTATGTTTGGGGGGGGGAGTGCCGCAGCCCCACATATGTTCCAGCAACATCAGATGGTTGTGGGGGGGAAACCAGGTTGAAGCTGCAGCCTTGGCTAAGAATTGCTCATCAAGATGCCGCATGCAGCTCAGGAACTACAATTGCATCCAAATGTACTTTTTTTTTAAAAAAAATTGCTCTTGAAGTTTTACAGCTAGTCCTTGATTTATGACCACCGTTGGGAGCATTATTTCCTTTGCTAAGCAAGGCCGGTGTTAAGTGAGCCACTCCTGATTTTATGACCCTTTTTCCCACAGTTGTTAAGCGAATCACTGCAGTTTAGTGAACCAGGCAGTCTGGCTTCCCGCAGTGGCTTGGCTTGTCAGAAGCCACTGGGATGGTCACAAATGGTGATCACACAACCCCAGGCGGGACGCTAAATGCATATCGGTTGCTAAGAGCCCCTGAATTTTGATCACACGGTCGTGGGGATGTGGTCTTCAATTTGAGAACTGGTCCTAAGTCGCTTTTTTTTTCAGCACGGTTGCAACTTCGAACGGCCACTAAAACGAACGGTTGTGTAAATCAAGGACCATTTGTGTTCTTATTCCAGTTGAGACCACCAGGCGTGAAGTTGGATGGTTTGAAGTAACTTTAAATGCATCCATTTCCACCTTCCCTGCCCAGAGAAATCCCTACTTAAAAATTGGAAATCGTCCTGCTGGTTTTTGAGACGGTTGAAATGGATTTTGTGCAGCCTCGACTGCAGTTCAGGGGATTTTTGAATTGGGATCGGAACCGGTTTCGGTTCTCCATGCCAGCACCCAGGAACAAAAGGAATATTGGATGGGGTGCCTGTCAAGTCATGTTTAGACTTTTAATCTCCAGAATGACAGGGGTCTGGGACCCGGGTTCCATCAGCAAAGGGCAAGAGGCTTTGCGTGGTTCTGCGACATGCTTTCTTTCATTTGCCTTACAGATGTGGTGATTATTCAACAGCTGCGAAGGTCCTACAAGTATTTCAAAGATTATAGCCAGGTGAGTGTCCTGTTTCATCTCTTTTAGGGAGGTTTTGCAATGGGGGGTCTCCAAACTCGGCCACTTTTAAGACTTGTGGACCAACTCCCAGAATTCCCCAGCCAGCATGCGCTGGCTGGGGAATTCTGGGAGTTGAAATCCACAAGTCTTAAAGGGGCCAAGATTGGACAGCACCGTTTTTAGAATCTTTTCACAATTCTCCCAAATGAAAAAAACGCACCGAAATGAAATTATATCCTATCTGGCTTTAAAAGTTTCTGGTCTCCTATCCAATCCAGGTGGATTCCCCCTCCCCCGGTCCTAACTCCCCCCCAAAAAAAACCAGTTTGGCATCTTCTGATGGCGTCCTGCCTCGGTTTCTTTTTCCAGATGATCATGGAGCCCACCAGCCCTAAATTGCTGCCAGATCCCTTGAAGGAACCGTATTACCAGCCGCCTTATACCCTGGTTATTGAACTCACCGATGTCCTGCTGCACCCTGAATGGTCGGTCTGTATCCTTTTCAGGAATTGGGGATGGGGGCAGCGCGTTCCCCTCAGAGCCAGGGGGCACGGCGGGCACTTGGTTGCCACCCTGCTCCATCTACCCAACGTTTTTGAGTTGTGGGGTCCTTGGTGCTCTCTGAGCTGGGTGGTTTCCTTGCAGATGTTTGATTACCAAACTAGCTAACAACTTCAGTGCTAGAAGGGAGTGGGCTGATTTTACCTGGTTTGATAATGAAACGCCTGCAAGAAAAGCACCAGAATACCTGCCAGGTCCGATGGAGATTATTAGTTGATAATTGTCCTTTCTGCCTAGCTGGCGTTCGCTTTCTCTCTCTTTTTTTTAATTTATTTTTTTTAATTTATTTTTTATTTTTCCAAACTCTCCCCCATACATATACCGTGATATTTATCAGATATTAACATACATTCTTTTTACATTCTTATATATAAGATACTTTTCATGAAATAAATACATACACATGACTTTTGGTGTTGCTCGCCCATTTCCCCTTTCACTGCATCCCCACTCCTTCTTCTCTACCTTCTTCCTCCCTTCCTTCTCTTTCTTCCCTACTTCCCTCTTCTTCCTCTCCTCTCCTCTTCTCTTTCACCACTCTCTCCTCCAACCTTCCTACTTCCTTCTCCCCTCCTTTACTCTTTTCTCTCTCCTCCCCTTTCTTCCCTCTCATCCCTCTTCAGATACAATTCAGGGGTCATGTGTCTCAAGGTCTCTCCCTCTTTCTCTGGTCCTCAGTTAGTGACCGGCTGGCGCTTCAAAAAGAGGCCGGGCATCGACAACCTCTTCCAACAGTTGGCTCCGCTCTACGAAATCGTCATCTTCACCTCCGAGACAGGCATGGTGAGTGCTCCAGGGAGTGGCCCTGCCCGCTGGCAAAGGGGTTGGGGAGGTAGCCCCTGTGCCCCCCCCTCCATTTTAAAGAGGCTTCTTTAAGTACGCAGAATGAACTTGTCCCCGCTGTTGAAATTAAAATCCCTTATTTATTTTTAAATGAAGAACAGATCCTTCAGCTCAGGAGCCTCCACGACTGGGCAGCTTTAAGACTTGGGACTTCCAGAACTTGGGGGGAATTCTGGGAGTTGAAGTCTCCAAGTCTTAAAGGTTGCCCCGTTTGGGAGGCTCTTGTGCTTTAGCTAAAACTCCCTCGTAGTTCCAGCCGCTGCTGGGCCATCAAACCCTGTTCTTGAGTTGAGGTTTGTGCCCAGCTGGGGGAATTGGACACAAATGTCCCAGCAAAGGAATGGAAGGGCGACCCAGTCTGGACTTTGTGTCCAATGCTCATGCTGGCCACACAGATGCAGAGTGACCGCAGGGGATAACCTCAGACCATGTCAGGCCATCGAGAGAGGGAGGGGCAGCTTAGCACAGCTGGTTAGCCCGTGCCCCTGGCCCTCTCCTCCCTTCCACGCTCCTCCTCTCTCACGCTTGAGTGGTGGCAGTGGGGTCTCTCCCAGGGAGCGTGCCACGGCTCATCTGAATATGAATGGCCCCCTCCCCGGCCCTTGCATCCCATTGAATCCGAACCATTGCTGCACTAATTGAGGGGGCCTGTCTTTGGGGAGAAAGCAGCACCCCAGTCTTCACCCCGAAGGCCAGGAACTGCTCTGGGAAAAAGGCTGCAGGGGTCCACCTCTGCCTTCTGGGAGCTGAGTTAACCCGTGGGATCCAGCTAGGCCAGGGGTAGGCAACCTGGGCTCTTTTATGACTCCCGGACTTCAACTCCCAGAATTCCTGAGCCAGCCGTGCTGACGGGAAAGGGAGAGGTTTCCAAGCTGAGCCAGGCTGGCTCAGGAATTCTGGGAGTTGAAGTCCACCAGTCATGAAGGGGCCAAAGTTTCCCTCATGCTGGCTCAGGAATTCTGGGAGTTGAAGTCCACGAGTCATAAAAGAGCCAAGGTGGCCTAGCCCTGAGCTAGGCCAAATCCAGAGCTGAGGCTCTAAAATGGGCAGGCACAGGACTCTGCTAACACCTTGAGAAAAAGTACACGAGGATGTCAATCAGGACAAGATCTTAGGTATTCTGAATAAGTTATGTTATGTATTCTAAGAATATTTTAGATATTCTAAAGAATACCTGTAGTCCTCCACTTACGACTACACTTGAACCCTTTTCTGTTGCTAAGTGAGACATTTGTGAGGTGTGCCCCATATTACGACTTTTCTTGCCACTGCTGTTGAGTGAATCACTACAGTTGTTAAATCAGATTGGCTGCTTCTGAAGGGGTTTCCTGAGAAGCGCACAGAGAGCATCAGAGTCAGACCACTTTCAGCTTCCTTTGACTCGAGCTGATCTTGCTCGTGGCACCTGGACGTGTTTGAAAGTTCTTTTGGAATCATTTGGGGCTGGTCATTCCTTTCTGCCTTCTTTCTCCTCTCCCAGACAGCTTTTCCCCTCATTGACAGCGTCGATCCCCACGGCTTCATCTCCTACCGGCTCTTCCGAGACGCCACTCGCTACATGGACGGGCATCATGTTAAGGTAGGGCTGCCGCATGATTTGGGAGGGCCACGGGGCCCCGTGTGGGAGGGATCCAGTGATCCTCTGTAATGGCTTGAGAGTCGCACCGGAGGGAGCCATACGAAGCAGCCGGCCAGCCTAAGGCGGGACTAGAACTCCCAGCCTCCTGGTGATTGGCCCAAAGTCACCCAGTAGACTTTCATGCCTAAGGACTAGAACTAGAACTCCCAGCCTCCTGGTGATTGGCCCAAAGTCACCTAGCCGGCTTTCATGCTTAAGGACTAGAACTAGAACTTCCAGCCTCCTGGTGATTGGCCCAAAGTCACCCAGTAGACTTTCATGCCTAAGGACTAGAACTAGAACTCCCAGCCTCCTGGTGATTGGCCCAAAGTCACCCAGCTGGCTTTCATGCCTAAGGCGGGACTAGAACTCCC